AAATGAAATCATCATCAATCTGTATTTTGAAAATCAGAATTTGAGACATCTTAATGTGTATCACTGTTTCCCTAACACAGGCTAGATGGGAAGTAGTTGAAAGGAAACGTATCCATGCAAAGGATTTCCATCAAGGACAGTAAGAGAAGAAATGCTTCCTTGAAAAGACTGGAGATTCCCTGGAAATAAAAAAGAGCACATGAGTATGGTATGAAACATTTTAAATCTTTAATTTCCTTCAAGAAAAAGGACTAGAAAGTTAAGGAGAAGTGGCTATTGTTGACCTTTTTTCCCTAAGGTAAGCCAATATTCTCATGTTTTCATGTCCTCAGCTTAAGGAGTTTGAGAAAGAAATGCCAAACGTCACCTATCTGTAATAGTCATGACTTGGTATTTCTATCAGTTCTTGAAGTTGCATATATAAAATAATGTGTATAATATGCATCAATTGTTCACTGGGGAAATAAGCCATTTTCCCTGGAATGTATTCAGAGTTCAGTGTATCCAGGTGCTCTTTTGTAAATAACACCACTCTGGGTCTGGTTTTACTTAGAAGGGGGGGATGAAGATCAGTACTCTAAATTGTTCATATGAAAATAAGGATTGTAATTCCTACCATCTTATTTCTGTGAGTCTTTCTGTCAGGTTGGTAGGACTTATTTGCTGACCGCAACTCACAGCCTCTTGGCTTTATGGGCTTCTGACATATGCCTGGAGAAGTAAGGTGGAATTAACTATATCAGCTCTTAAAAAGCTTTATTCTGAGCATGGAAAAGTTCTCCTCAGGTTGCACTCCTCCAGAACACAACATGCATTGCCAGAACTGCAGTTTTCTGTAATGAGACATAGGATGAAGCTTCAACAACATGCAAGCATGTTACAGTTGCATATGGTGCAAGTGTTGTATTTATTCCTGTTCGCTGCTGTGTTTATACAGAATTATTTATTTCCTTTACATTTATTTAAAAAAAAAAAACAAATCTCAGTATTTCTCAGGGTTTTAGTTTCCAGTATTCCCCATGTCTCTCACAACATGCTCTTTTGAAAATACGATTTTGTTGTGTTCCTCTATCAAACTGAAGCCTATAATCTGCAATGTGGATTGGCCAGGTGCCACATACGGCAGATGGACTTGAGCGTGTTTCTGCCAAGGAGCTAGCATGTGCACCAAGCTCTGTGCGTGTGGCATCCATTTCCTAACCAGAATGTCAAAACAGCTGTCTGTGGAGGACTCCTGCATCTGTACTAACAGGATCTGCCAGAAGTCCTGTAATTCGGAGCGTGGTTTCTATCTGAATAGTTCAAACAGTTTTAATGTGCCCAAACCTGGAGCAATGGTCTCTGAGCACTGTGTGATTTACACCAGTTTACAGGAGAATAATCCCGCAGGATGGTGAGGGTTTGTGTCTGATGCACGTCCATTTAGCTGTGTTTACAAAGGTGCTAAAGAAGCGAGGAGAGGGGGAGTTGGAGCTGGTTTGGTAACTACTTTAGAACAGGTTTAGAAGTTTCTGGCACTGGCGAATGGTACTGGAATGTAAAAAGCCATTTGGATGAGTGGCAAGTTCCAGAAGATTTCAAGGGAAACGGGTGCAGCCATAGCTGGTCTGAAAAGAAGGTGCATCAGCAGCAACAGGCAGGTCCTGAGTGAGACAAAGCAAATTATTCCTATTGGAACAAGTCCAGAGAAGGGCCACGAGGATGATCAGGGGACTGGAGCACCTCCCGTATGAAGACAGGCTGAGAATGGTGGGGCTGTTCAGCCTGGAGAAGAGAAGGCTGCGTGGAGACCTCATAGCAGCCTTCCAGTATCTGAAGGGGGCCTATAGGGATGCTGGGGAGGGACTCTTCATTAGGGACTGTAGTGACAGGACAAGGGGTAACGGGTTAAAACTTAAACAGGGGAAGTTTAGATTGGATATAAGGAGGAAATTCTTTACAGTGAGGGTGCTGAGGCACTGGAATGGGTTGCCCAGGGAAGCTGTGAATGCTCCATCCCTGGCAGTGTTCAAGGCCAGGTTGGACGAGGCCTTGGGTGACATGGTTTCATGTGAGGTGTCCCTGCCCATGGCAGGGGGTTGGAACTTGGTGATCTTAAGGTCCTTTCCAACCCTAACTATTCTATGATTCTATGATTCTGAGCTTGGTAGGAAGCAGCTTCTTCAGTCACGATCCCTGCAATTTTATCTAAGCTAACATGCTTTCCTGCTTGGCCTTCGCCTCATTCATAGGTTGTTGGTTTGAACAGTTGCCCTGATTTTTGTCTTTCATAGGGCATGTTTCTTAATGAATAAACAAAAGTCGAATAACTCATTCTAAAGAATACTTTTATTCCTCTGTTTTATTAATCTAACACTGCCTTTCTGACCTTTTGTTTCTGTTACAAATAATCACTTCCATTTTCTCAGACATTATGAAATGGCTGTAATAAGGGTATAGCACTTGCCCTTTGGAAGAGACAAGAAACCAGCCATTTCTGTCTGTAGCTACATCTTGCCAGTGAAGTTAGAAATGTCTTGGAACCTTTTCCCCAATAAAAGTTGAAATAATTGCTCTATTCTGGGTGGTTTTCTCCCTTGTTGTTCTCGTGCTTTTAGTCTCAAAGACCAAATAGCATTTAGAGTGATGAATGTTTTGTTTCCTATTTCCTTCCCTAAAATACATGACAATAATGTCTACTAGGTGTTTCTGAAATGACCAAAAATGTACTTTTGTGATCAGTTTTGTGCTCATTTTAAATGGTCCTTCTTGGGATATGTAGCAGATTATCAGATCACATGATTTTATTTCTCTGTTATGGTACTCAATCCTGTAGACTGGAAAACTGGGATTAATATTTTGTGGTACAATTGACTAACTATTGAGAGCCATGCAATCATGTTCTGTTGCATAGTTTATCTCACAGCAGCACCATGGATTCTTGAGCACCCTTCCACTAAATGTCAAACATGTCCTTGTAGCACATCTTTATGTTTAAGAGATGTCAGTGGTCACTATGGTCCAAAGAGTGTGGCTTGGTTCATACTGTTTATTTCTACTCCCCTCTTATGTTGAAGTTTCAGATTCTTAGGTGTTGCTTTTCCTTCTTACTTTGCTTATGTTTCCTGTCTCTCCAAATCTCCTGTCCTGGCTTTGAGTTCAGATAGATGTCGGGTGACCATTAAATTGGCTTGTATTAAAGTGAGGGCTAGCAAAATGCATTGAAGCTACATCAATCTGTTGAAGCTAATACAAACCACTTGTAGAAAAACCGAGTAACCTGAGGGTGCTATTAATTTTAGATTAAGAACGCATCAAGGAATGAAGGCTAATCCATTAAACTAGAATTCTTTTGCTGTGATTCCAATGTAAATAAATGTCAGAAAAGTAAAGATATTAGCAGTAGCTAAGCAGTCTCACCAAGACCAAGCCGAGGCTTGAATGATGTCCTCCTTGGTTTTGTGGGTTTGTCATTGTTTTCTTCTTCCTCATACAAAATTAATCAGTAACACTGGAAATAATCCAGCTCTAGATCAAAACAAAACAAGTCCTTTTGAGACTCCCCTGATGTCTACATATAATCTGTACAAAACCACAGAACCAGGTAATTATGTGCAAGAAGCAAGCACTAGAAAGTGTAGTAAGAAAAGAAGAATTTACTTTTTTCCTTTTCCAACAGTTCTTTTAACTATTGGTGTTTTCTAGAACAACAGATCAGTGCTATAGGGAAGAGTGGGACTTTTCAGTCAGAAATATCCTTTAGCTTTTTACAATTTATTATGCATTGCTTTTAACTATTAGCATATATGACATACAAAGAGCTGTCCCTGTGTGCCTCTGCCTTCATCTCTGAAGGTAAGAGGCACTCACCTGCTATGGGATTCTGCAACCACAGATCCCAAGCTTCACAAGAACAGCTCCTGCTGCCCCCTTTTTTTATGGAGAGATGTTTTTGTAAGGAAGTCCTTATTCTGAATATTATTTTTTCTTTTATCAGAGTGTTTCTAGCAGTTTCCGTTCCAATGCTTCAGCATATGCAGGCATAGCTGGGATGAGGCTCCAAACAGCCAGTGCCTTTGACCAGGCACAAAGGAAGCAGTTTCCTTGGCAACCACAACCCCAGAAAGGTCCCAAAACGGCACTTCCACCTGCCTGAGATTTCGTTTTAATTTAGGAGTTTGCACATCGGCTTTGCATGGAGAATTGGGTTCTTGGGGCTTTATTCATAACGTAAGTTGCTTACAGGAATCATGTACTTTTTGCATATGAATTTATACCTTGGAGTGACTAGCTTACTGGAAAGACTGTTGATTTATGTAGTGACAGCGTATGCTGCAGTAGCACGTGGTGGGATTCAGAAACGACAATACAACACATGCTACAAAGATTAAAACACTTCATGGAGTTAAAAAAGAACTGTCTAGAGAAGAAATAGTTTGCTCCTATGTCTATGTCAGAAATTATGAGATCAGGGAAACTGCCAAACATGCATATGTCTTTGGGTTTTACTAGATTTGTTAACTTTAAGGGGGAAACAGCCAAAGAGAAGGGCATTAAATAAGGAAACACTAAAACTCGATCCTCACTGCTGAGGGATGGGTATCTTCATACAGAAAAGTTCACACCTGCTTCTGGGGTCACTTGGGTCAGCTCCTGGCTGTTTTTAGACAGTTGATGTGAGATCATTGTGGATTTAGCAGAGCTTGGCTTTATTTACCCCATGTAGGTTGGGGTGCCCCATGGCTGCATCTTGCCTGGGGCCAGCCTGCCCCCAGTGTCTGTGAGGTGTTTCTCCAGAGCATGTCTTTAACAGCCACGTAACTTCAATACTCAGATGCAGTTTAAAGCCCAAATATGTTTGGCTTCCAAATATCATCAAAAATTGCATGTGAAAGGAACTGAGCCTGTGCTTTGCACCAAGGGCCCTGTGCAAATGCAGGGTTGTCTCCTTAAGAAGAAATAGCTGTGCCATGCAGGTGACACCAATTGCCCCCTGGCCAGACCCTGCTGGGCAGGAAGAAATTGCAAAGAGCTATAGGAATAAGGAGCTGGAGCAGGCTGAGGTATGAGACCACAGGCAAAGAGGTGAAGCAAATAACCTCTGAACTCCAAGTGCAAGTGAAAGCAGAGCATTAGTTGCATGGGCAGCAAAGCCTGGATGAGTGAAACTCTGTCTGTGGTTGGAAGCTAGAGGTGGAGGACAAAGGTGAAGGCATCACATCTCATCAGTGTTTCTTGATGAGACAGATGTTCCTCAAAGGTATGTTGCTGCCTTTTCGTGTTGTATTTTGTGTTTAGTGGGACTGTGGTGCCAGGGAAGCTGTTTTCAGGTTGGTGGTGCTGGTCAGTGCATCTGGTGATGCCTGTTTCTAATGTGAAGTTTTGTGGGTTTGTGTGCACAGCAGTGCTTATCTTGTTCTTGTGGGGTCTAAAGCTTACCAGAATGTGCTGGGGGAGAGAAAGAGACATCATCAATTTATCCTGCTTTTGGTGTTAGGCAGCTTCTTCAGCTTGAGGTCTCTGCTTCAGTGATTTGGCTGTCCCATGTTCCTGGGTAGGCTGTGTCTCACTTTTAGATTTATCAGTACTTATTTTCATAAACAAATTGGTTGATTGAGGGTTTTTCTGTGTAAAAGATGTGTCTTTGTGCAGCACATGGACCTTCCTATCCTAAGTAAAAGGGTTTTCAGTGACTGCTTTAACACAGGAAGCTAAAACCAGAAATCCCATCATACTGCTTTGCCAAAACTGTGTTTATGTTATAAATCTCTACCTAATATTTCCCATTTTCATGAATTGCAGTTGGAGAGGGGCTGTTTGTGCCAGTTAGCTTTATATAGTGCAATTAAAGCAGACAGCCCCTCCAGCAGCTCTGGTGAGTGCCTCAGAGGCATAGGTGCTAACCGAAGCAGCTGTGGGTGATACCTAAAGCCTAAGCAGTGTGACTGTCCCTCCTTCACCCCAGTTCCCAGTACCCAATTAATGTTTCTTGAACTTGAGTGATGAGGCTCAGAGTGAAGCTCTGTGTTTTAGCAGGGAGAAGAAAAATTCTTCCCAGCTGCAGCATCCATTTCAATCCCTCTTTGACAGAGCTCTTTTAATATGATGCTCTTGTCTCCCTGGCAGCGATGGAGCCCGCTAGCATGGAGGTTTAAGTCGTGTTGTCAAGAGATTTTTGTGACCTTATTTCTGTTGTTTTTATCCCCAGAATTAACGTGTCACTTACCTGGTGATGCTTCACAACAGAACTGGTTTTGCTGTGAATGAAGTTAACCCCAGAAGCAGGTTTCCATAGCCTCCAGGTTTAAGTGTGGGTATTGGAGGGGAGAAGTTTCTTTTTCCCAGCCTGTGCTCAGAGAGTGTCTCCAATACCCAGTGGAAATGCTCTGTCAACAGAGAAAGACTAATGAAACAGAAGAAGTTTTCAGGTGTAGCAGGAGTCAGAGCTCTGTCAGCTCTCCAAAGCCCTACCTTGATTAGCCTCTCCCTTCCTGGTCACCTACATAACAACATTTATTCATTTTGTATAATGCTTCAGTGAACCCCCTGAGTCCTCAAGCTAAATACCAGCATATGCGATCTCTGCGTATTAATGTCTCCCTCTGGTTTACGTGTCACTAAAATACTGCAGACCTGCTGGGTTGTTGGGTTATATATTTGTGAGAGAATAAATCGAAGAAAATAAACTGTGTGACAGCAGTGTAATGAGGAAGCAGGCAATGATCAGCCTAATGGGAGGGTCAGAGACATAGCCCAATAAATAAGGGAAAGATGGAAGTGTCCCCATCAGCTAATATGTGCACGTACTGTTATCTGTTTACCAGCTGAGCCCCTGCACAGCTGTAGGGAATCAGGGGGACTGTGTGCTATTGCTAGCTCTGCCAAGGGTGAGAGTAATCAGTCTGAGCTCCCAGTGCTGCGCTGCTCTGGTACTCAGGCCCCTGACTTCTGTCCCTCTCTCATTTATCCTTGCTAGAAAAGCAGGGAAACTGGTGCTTGAGAGGAAAGATGAGTTCCTTGCCTGGTTTTGTCTGTGCTTATTACCCATGCCCTGCTGCAGGTCCTGCTTGCAATCTTGAGTCAATTGTTTGGGCAGTGATGTCCCTTCATGGACTTTGGCTGAAGAATGTTAGGGACCAAGATTCCCACTTCCTATTAAAACTGTGTTTAGTAGGGACCTTGGTTTCTAAAGTTAAAATTCCCCACGTATCTTTTGCCTCTTAAGGTACAGAGAATTCTTACTGTGGTTGAGCTGGTTAGTGCCTAGCTTGGGTTCGATCTTTTTACTGATGAAGCTGCTTGGCTGTCTTCTTCATTATAGGGGGATAAAAGTTAAGTGGTGGTGTGTTGAATGTTTTGATTTTTAAGGTCCTTCTCCCCAGTGCTTCAGATCCTCATCTGCAGGTGCAGCATTAGTTACCGTCTTTCTGTGACACCTTAAGGAGTTGATGTACTTGTACTTGGTATCTGTATGTAAAACTAGGAAGATGTAGCAAAATAAAAACATCGTTTCTCTGCCTTTTAGATGCATTACTTAAGGTAGGTCTTCATTAATTGTCATCATCCCAGTGGTGGTCCTTTACTCCAGCTTGAGAGTGCGTTCATCCTTGTTAAATGTGGGAGATAATTTCAAATACAGGTTTTCAGGTAAGGGCTGGCACAGCAGTAGTCTGCATTAAGCGAATAGGTGCATTAACAGGCTTTGCATAGAACCTGAAGTTTCATGTGGTGAGTAGAATGCTGGTAGAAGGATGTGGGGGTTTTGTTGTGGGTTCCTTTTGTTTGTTTTGTTTCACTATTTTCTGAGAAACAAAGTCCATGTGAAGCTTTCTTCCTGTAAGTTGGCTGTGCATGGTACCTGTCTGGATTTAGTCTTAACACAGATTTATCTATGGGGACATGCAATATGGACCATCTTCTGCTTTCTAAAGAGACAGACATATTGACCTACAGCTAGAAATGCTCTTAAAATTGTCTTCTAAATTTCCTTTTCTCTTGGCTTTATTATGATAAAAGCCTGAGAACTTCCAGTTGTTGATTTCATAATTGCTGACTTAAGCATCTTTTTAAAGGGTTTAAAGCAACTAAATGGAAGTTGGAAATTTCAGGCAAAAATATTTTCATCTCTTTGCCATAAAACAGTAAACAGCAGTTAGTGTTTGTGGACACTGTAAAAATGAGCAGTACTGACTGTGCCACAAACTGAAGTTCTTTGCTTGGAGTCAGCTACCTTGAGATGACATTGTGGGATGTTTTTTCTGTCCCCTGTTGACTTGCACATAAACACTTTCAGCCGTTTGTGTACAATTGGAAGAGTAATGAATTAGAAATGTCAATTCACTTCCACAATTGTTAAGGTTTAATGATAACCGTTATTGCTGTGATATTGTTATTGAAAAGACTAAGAAATGTGAATGGTTTCATTTTGCATTCTTTGAGTACGTTTATGAGATGTGTGATAGCAGAGAAAATTACAGTAGATAGTTTACCAATTTGCTTATTTCTCTTTTTAGATGTTCTCATTTTTCTTGTAATATTATCTGGTATCTCCTACCATTATTGAGTCCTTTATATGTGCATGCACGCACACAAAAGTGAGTAGGTAATGCATGACCCCAAGATCTGACAGCAAAAGACAACAAAAGAAGCAAAGAGACCATGATCACCAACTCACAGGTAGGAAACTAATGTTCAGTGAGATTAACTCAGTTGATGTAACAGTTTCTAAAAGTGGTGTACTCCCAGCACATACCAGCATAATTTCTGTACTTTGTCATATGAGGTTTTGTATCTATGCTTGAATTTTATAGCATCTTAATGTGAATTGTTCCTAAGAGGAGTGTAATTGCAGCATCTAGCTATGATGATAATGGACATTACAGAATTACCTCAGTGGAAAAGCAGATCCTACATATTGTGATGACATCATCTGAAGGTTGAATAAATGAGAGAATCTCCTTGTTAAGTGGGGTGGGATGTGTTAGAGATGAGGTAGGGTTAAAAATGGAAATTTTATGGAAATAAGATCAATGAAGTGGCAAGTGATGCAGGGCGTACCCCATGGGTCACTAACAGAGAGCAAATTTCCCTTCCTCTTGCATTCAAGTGAGAGCTCTTCGCAGTCAGACTGCTGCCCAGCATTTTTGCTGCTTCTGTTTGTCCCATTCGGATGTCAGTGTCTAATTAACTTGATGATGCAAGGTAATCTACCTTGGCCAAGGAGCATGTAGCACAAAATAAATCAGGAAGGACAGATACTGATGGTGTCCTTTGTATGCTTTCAATCCCAGGATGACTGCAGGTGCTCTGAGCTGCCACACTTCCTTGCTTGGGGAACTTGTTTGGCATAGAGCATCCTTCAGGTTTTCAAATTTATGTAAAGAGACCATTATCACATTGAAGGATATGTAAGATTAAAACCTTCAATGGATGCCACCAGATTAATGGTAACATTAATCTTCACGATGCAAATGAGAAGGTGAGACACAAAAATGACCTGTGGAGGAGGAATGAGCACAATGATTTATTTATTTATTTAGAGCCTGTGTCTGAGCTTTAACTGTGTTATTGCTCTTCTCCATGAAGAGCACATACAAGAAGTCTTGTGAAACCATTTACCTCCATATCGTGTACTTAACCCCCAACTGGAGTACCATGCAGCAGAAAGGTAGAACAAGTATATTTTTAAACCACTAAAAAGATTTTGTTGAAGTATATAAAGCTCTTGAAAACAAATCTGTTATACAGGAGTAAAAGCTATTAAATCAATGCTGTTTCCTCTATTTAGTAATTTCTAAATACTTTGTGCTGATACAGGGGGAAACATGATTTTAAAAGCCAACAGATTCATTAACATGGTGTGACAACCCAAAATACCTGTATATTACAGAAAGATCATCAACAGATCGATAAACCTGCCTGAAATAGTTGTCTTGCAGCAGTATTGAATTTTGAGGGTTTTGCACCAGTCAGTATTTTCTGAAGGGATAATTTTCCAGTAAAGGGGAATTGTGTCATAACCAGTTGCTGGGCCACTGCTTTTGTGGCTAAGGAAGAAGAAAGATCTGCACTGATTCTATCTCCTAATTAGCAGGGAACTTGATCTGAGTCCAGAGCTTATTCTTAGGAGGCCAGCCAGGCTGTCTGAATGGAGAAATTAGACATCTCAAATGACCTTGGATCTGTAGCATGCTTCTGGTGACCCCAGTCTCCCCTGGCTTCTGCTGTGCCAAAGGAGAGCTGCACCATATGGTGAAGAAGTGCAGTGGAGAAAAGGTGTCAGCTAATGACTAAGAACTACTTTTAATTCTAGCTCTAGACAAAACAGAGGGGAGGGTGCAATCCTCTGTCTTCATTTTTACCCATTCTGCAAGTGGGATCTCTTGTTTCTGTCCTTCAAAAGCATCCAGGGAGGTGGAGGACAGATTAGCACATGCAGCTGCTGGCTGCTTGAGTTCATTAGAAAATGCATGTGCCGTAACCCACAGCGATTTGCCCATGGAATGGCATCGCTTGAGATGTTGCAGAGTTGATAGAAATCAAAACGATGTTGACTCCAAGTCGGTTTTTAACACTGATACCTAATTTAAATAAATACCAGATGGGACAGAGGCAGTTTGTCTAGGCAATTACATGATCCCCACTTGCACAATGCTGTACTGAGGCAATACCAGCCAGAGTGAGAACAGGGAGAGAAAGGTGGTTCACCCCATGCCTGGGATTTTGGTACAGCCTGGAGAAGCTATTGAATATCTAGGAATAATTAAAATGAATGCAAGAAATATGCATGTAAACTTAGTGCTTGGCTAAAAGTTCCACTTAAATGTGAAATTGAAAGTGGTTTTGCAAACACCCCAGGAAGTGGCTGGGAGCTTCTGATGTCTTTATTTTATAGCAGTAGAAATGGAAAAGGGAGTTCAACATAAATTGAGGAAGGACATTTAATTAGTAAAAATTTGACTAGTAACAAATCAGCTCAACTAATGTCTTTTAGACTTCCTACTTGGAGACATCAACTATCGCAGAAATTTCATTAAACATGATTACTTTAATTATTTTGTCCTTAGTGAAGAGCGCTAATTAACTTGGCTATGATAAATATGCATCCAAATAGCATTCTGAAATCCCTACAGATCCCAATTATTCTTAAAGTCTAAGGTGTAGAACTTGCTGCTACAATCCTTTTTTTAGAGCAAAGATTTTTTTCAGGGGACACCATTGATTTCAAAGGTGAGTAATTTTTTTTTCTTCTGAGAAAAAGGAGGCAATTTTTGATCAAAATCTGAGGTGAAATTATGAGGGCTCTGAAAATAACCTTGATGTGTGTATCTTGTTCCTAGCCATGGATTCTGCCTATGAATTGAAGCCAAATGAAAATCTGCAAAGGGGAATGGTTAACTGCTAACCATTGTAGCAGCTTCAAATATGTAATCAGTTTGCATATAAGAATAGCATTAGTTACACTTGAAGGTAAAAAGGACCGATATATGGCAAACCCTCTTAAGCGTACATCAGGCCTTAATTTGGGGCCATTGTCTTGTAATCACAATGGAGTGAAGATGATCCTCCAAAATCATTTTAAAACCCTGCATGCGTGCCCTTTCTGGCAACTTGGAGCTCATGATCTCCCTGTCTATTGGCTGGATCTATGACTCTCTTGAAGACTGAGCTGAGAGAGGGGAAAAAGAAAGTGCTTTCTCTGAAAAGTTTTTATTTTAAGCATCTCTTTGGTTTTACTGCCTAGAAAACTTTTCCTAGAACAAGCCTTTTTGCATTCACATGAATGGGCTAATGATGCTATTGGGTTATCTGTTCTACAGTTCCTTTTCTTGGCTTCTTGCCAGGTGTAATTATAAAGTAGATTCAATTCCTTGATGGAAAAATGAAGTTAAGGTAAGCTAATTAAAAATGGAGTCACTATAGGTGTCCAAAGGTGCTTCATAGATTTGCTTGGGTTTTTATTATTCAAATCTCCCCGTGTCAGGATATGTTTCTTTCTAATCCTTGACCCTGTCAGCTAATCAAACAAAAGCATGCCTGTCTTCTAATTAACAAAATAATTTCCCTTGTGGATACATATGTTCCTGTAAATCTAAGATAAACATCAGTGCAATTAAAGTGCAGTTCAAGTTTCTGAAATTTACTTTGGAACACCAAAATGCCATAGTATTAAGTGTTTGAGGAACTGTTACTCCATCAAATGATTCGGGGGGGGGGGGGGGGGGTGTAGTAATAAAAAGGAGCATTTTACACAAATTTTAGTACCAATAATAAAGATAGTGCTTTGGACACATTGTGGCCAGGAAATACTCTCTGTCCTCAAAATGAGATAATTATAAGCTGAAAAATATAGGATGAGTCTGATTTTTGTCAATGATCTATCACTAGAGCCTCTTAAAGTTGCAATAATACAAGGGACATGAAAAGCAAAAAGGATGTAAGTGCCTTGACTTACAACAGTAATGAGTACAACAGTTTGCTGGAGTAGCTGTAAATCAAATGTACTGTAGCTATAAAAAGTCCATAAGACATTTGGATGTGATCCTGGACTGCTTCCACGATATAGAAGCTGTGCATACAAATGAGAAGTCATCCATATTGCATTGTGGGGAGTACTGCATTATTGAAACTGGAAAGATGATAATAGAAAGTTGGTTTTGGAAAACTACTGAAGCTGAGCTTCATTGTATTGGTGCCAGTACAGGGCAATTACATTTGGGACAACGTCAATATCAGTTAAATAGAGGAAATGTAATAAGGAAGGAATATGTGATCATTAGGAATATAAATTAAATTCAATTCTGCAGATTAGAGGACTGTATATTTTAATTTCATTTTAGCCTGATTTCTTCCCCCCAGCCCTCACCATCACCACCACACATAGCCCCCTCCTCTTCCCCCTTATTTATTTCACTTTATGCTTTATTACTTTTAAGCTTGTTTTTCTTGGTGTGGCTGATGCTTATGACATCTTCTTCCTACATGCTGTGCCTAATAGAATTCTTTAAACAAAGAAATCTCTTGGGGTAGACATTCAAAAATCAACGCACCGTGTATAACATAGGGCTGAAAATGAAGGAAGAGGGACAGGGTGGCTGGAAGCTCATCTTAAAAATTGTCTTAGGAAAAATATTCCTATAGATTAAGGTCATGTCTGGGGAGCTGTAGGACATGCATTCAGTTCTGACCCTGTTATGTCTTTGTTCTCCACCTCGAAAAGCAAAAACCCTTTCCTCTTCCCTGATTCCTACATGTACCTTCTAAGTCTTTAATAATTTTTAAGTGGGGTCTGGTTTTCACAGTACAGTTCACTTAATCAGCATTCTGATTGCATTTGGAGTTTAGGTGTTAATTCCAGTGTTTGTGTTATTGTGACAGCATTAATATTACCCCTTGTTAAGGTAATATTAATGGATTTCCTCAACCGAGCATTACACTGGGTTAAGGCTGGGGCTGCATGTGCCCAGTCTTGTATCAGGTGATCTGTTCCATAGTGGCCGTAGGCTAAATCTAGTGGGAAAAACCTGTAAATAGGAGCATGGTGACTTGGATTCTACCCTTGAGTGTGAGCCGGCAGGTTGGCTCCCTGGTGATGTGCCTCAGTGTCTCAGCATGTGGGTGCAGAGCTCTTGCGTGATGTGAGACCACGATATTTGTGAAGTGTCTTGAGACCTGGAAGAAGATTACTTACAAACACGATGAATTGGCAGGAGCTGCCTTATCTCCAAGAGGCCAGTTAACTGTCATAGGAGTTCAAGTAAGCTTTTATTTCCTTTTGGTTCTTTAACAAAACCCAAACAAATCCATGAAGAAAAGGAGGCACTAAGCAAAAGGTGGAAGTTTGAATGCAGGTGTCAGGAATTTGACTTGAATGCTCTATACATCACAAATCCATGTATCACCATGGTACTGAATGGT